CCACTCACAATACCCATCAACCTTCAAGTATAGTACAGTAGCTTCAAGGTTACCCCTAAGTAGGTTACCTAAGCCCCTTAGTAGCTTCAGGGTCCATATATGTTGAAGAGTTCAGGGGTGCAGGGCTTACAACACATCTAGATTCCAAAACAACACAAGATTACATGGCTCATTTCATGCCCCAGTCTCTTCAAAGCTGCATATGGACACCGAGTCGTTTCGGTGCTGGTTTGCAGCAGAATCGGGGGAGCTCTCACGGAGGCTCGGACTTAAAACTCAGCGTTGGGTGTACCCGAGATTCTGAACTTGAAAAAAACCCTGTAGGCCAAAGCCCTGGTTTTAAGACTTCTTGGAGGATGGGTGATATCGAAAGACTTGCGATCCCATCCGCGCTCCCTGAATCAAAAGCTGGCACAGCCAGGGAAACCAGACTGCAGCCAGCACATCCTGCTGCATGGCCTCGCTCCGTAGGCCCTCAACACCAGTTCGAGGCTTCAGGACATGGGTTTTGGGGTCATTCTGGGCCCCTGAGGCGAGCCGTGCTCGAATTAGGCACGGAGCTGCCCACCAGCCCATGCCAACTCACGTAGCGGATCACAGGGGCCACGGAGCGGAGGGTGCTGACTGAGGCGTAGCTCCTGAACCCTACACCCACCTGAAACCCCGAACCCCACGTCTTGTCAACAGGGATCTAGCCTGGGGCGTAGGTTTCCAAAGTGAGGCTGAGGGTTTGAGAGTTTTGAGGACCTCCCGCCCCCCCCCCCCCCCCCCGGGAGCCCCAAACCCAAACCCTCCTAAACCCTATCTAAGCACTAATCCCTAAACGAGATAGGCCTCAAACCATAGCCAGCAGCCCTCCGCTCTTCTTAAAGCCTGCCCGCGCTTCCGCACGTGCGTCTTGAAATCGTTGTCCACAAGAGAAGTCGCAGTGCAGGTGACACCGTTGGAGTTGAGGATTTCGGGCTTAGTGCCCACATCTATACGATGACACCTCCAGAACCAGAATATACATGAAACTGAAAACATCCTTGTGATACGTGAATATTGTAGGACACGCCTCCTAAGGAGGCTATGGGAACCAGCGAGACTCAACGATTCTGCACACTGCTCTGCATCTTTGAGATGACCCCTTCAACCCTCAATTCAGAAGCCCTACGCCCTTGAAACTTTGATTTGCATATTGATATGATGTAATTGGGCATTTTCGTGCTAGTGCAACCCAAACACCCCACCTGAAAATTCTAACCCCCAAAAACCGTGCAACTTGATCTCGCTCCCGAAAAGCTATACCCCAAAACCCTAAACCCTATACCCTAAAACTGTATACGCCCTTCGGAACTTGAAGACTTCCCCGCGAAACCAAGATTTATGGCTAGGCATTTAGGGTTTAGGGTTAGGCATTTAGGGTTTAGGGACCTACATAGCGACCTATCGTCTTTAAATTGCTTGCGGGACCCAGAAATCTAGGGGCCGATTTTGCCAGGCTGTGAATCTTGGCTATGTTGCCATGATTTAGAGGTCATGTAGGGTTTAGGGTTTAGGGTTTAGGGTTCAGGGTTTAGGGTTTAGGGTTTAGGGTTTAGGGTTTAGGGTTTAGGGTTTAGGGTTTAGGGTTTAGGGTTTAGGGTTTAGGGTTTAGGGTTTAGGGTTTGACAATTATTTAGGCTCCGGCTAAAGAAGGGGCGTAGGGCTTCTGAGTCGAATCCCTTCCCCCTCATCTCAAAACCCCTTTTGCGGGACCATAAAAATTTGTAAGATTCAGGGTTTAGGCCTGAGGGTTGAGGATATTTATACCCAATGGATTTTATGCTCGGGGGAGGGATTCCGGCCGGAGAACAAGTTCAACCCCTAGTGGCGCAGGAGCCAAAATAATTGCCAAATACGATTTCCTAATGATCCCCCATCATGATAGCACAACCACAAGCCCGTTCTAGCCGAATACCCCAGGAAACTGGGTCACCGGTACCCCAGCCACCTAGGAAAAGAAAGGAAGCCCCTTGGGGAGTTTTGCACATTAAACCAGGGTGCCAGTGGGTGTTCTTGCAGGCACGGGTCCATGCTTGAGGCTTGGGGTGTCGGGGAGTACACGGAAGCCGAGGTCGTGCTGCGAATGCAGGGCGCGGCTGCGAATGAACCCTGAGGATTCTACGAGTAGAGTATATAGGGTTGGGACCTAAACTCGGATTCGGACCGAAACACCCCTGACTGGCTGTAAATTGCGGTGAAGGCTGAGAGCCTATGATGTGAGATCCAAAGGTGGCACCAGGAGTCTAAGGGTCATGGAGATTTTTTGCAGGGCGTCCTTCTTCCCACCCTGCTTTTGACGGAGGCCTGCCAGAGCTTTTGGAGGTTCGGCAAATAAATCTAGGGTGCAGTCCTTCTAGCGTGGAAAATGGGAAACGTAGAAATAACTATCTGTATCCATGTCTTTATAAGTATAAGCTGATCGTATTGTGCTAGCCTACCCCAGATGTCGGCTCGGCAGGCGCGTCAAGGTCTGGGTGGCAGCCCAAGCATCAAAACGCTCGAGCTCCCACTACCGGAAGCCTGGAAGCCCCCCCCACTCTCAAACCGTTAAGCCCATGACCTAACCCGGCATCGAAACTAGGGTTTAGGGTTTAGGGTTCAGGGTTTAAGCCCTCAGTAACCAGACATCGCCGAAGCCCGAAAGCACCTCAATCCTACCAGGATCAATAGAACCTCCGAGCCTGCGGGTTTCAGGCTTGGGTTTCAGAGCTTGCTGGGTAGGGTTTGGGGTGCAGGGCGCGGAACTTAGGGTGGTTTAGGGTTTAGGTTTTAGGGTTTAGAGTTTAGGGCTACCCATAAACCTGCCCCCCAAAAACACGCACGGCGTTAGGAGCTTGGAACCCGGCTCTCGAGCCAGCCGCGGCGCACTTTGACCACAGCTGGAACGAGCAGGATGCGGTGACCATGCTGTCTTCGTGGGCCCAGCTCTGATTTGTAATGACTTATGGGAGGCAACATGAAAAAGAGAGAGAGAGAGAGGGCACTTCAGCCCCTAAGGAAGAGGGTTGCAGCTAGGGTTCACCCCCAACATCCTTACTTGGTTCGCGGGTAGATAAACGTGGTAGAAAGCAACTATATTTGCTGGCTGTAAGCTTACTTGGGGGTCCTCAGGTATGCCCTTGGCTCAGGGAACCCTCGGCCCTAGGGCTGAAACTGCAGGGCTTAGGGTTTAATGCATAAAGGTTCTAGTGCTGAGGTGCTCGCATGTTGGGGCCGCTCAGGATACCTTGGCCTTGACTTTGGTAGGGCTTGGGGCTTAGAACCTTGGAGTTTCAAAGTTGCGGGAAGCGTTGCCTTCGCCAAAGTGGGGCAGTAGGCTGCGGGGGCCGAGGCATAATGGCTTAGGAACACTTACTTATAGGCTATCCAGACTTGAAACGCGTGACAGCAGGATCCAACACGTGAGGCCAGCTACGTAATGTAGCATGGCTGGGATGAACTGCTGGCATGCAGGGTCGAAAAAAAGACATACCGTCGGACCCTACGAGTCCTCGTCTGCCAGGAGCATCCGGTGAGAATGGCTTGTACTTGGACGGCGTGCAATTAAAGGGTCCCCAAGCAACCCCCTCTGCTGAATAAACTTCAAGAGTCTGCCCTAGAACCGACGACTTCCCTCGCGAGTTCTTGACCGGGAGTTAGGGAAGCAGGTACCCCTACACCCTCCTAGATGACCACAAGCCCCCAAAACCCCAACCCCAAACCCTAAATCCTGAACCCCAAAGCCATAAACCCTAAAACCCTCCACTGCAAGCCTTCTAAGCCCGGCTTAACTCATAACGAGCACAGTTCAGCTCCAAAGGCATCCAACCCAAACGATTAGAAAAGGCATGGGGTCGCTTCTCTAAACTATGGCCCCTTGTAGGGTTTCGGGTTTAGGGGCTATGGTCCCTTTTGGGGTGTAGGGTTTAGGGTTATCGATTATGGTCCCTTTTGGGGTTACCATTCTAAGGCGGCCCCGAATACTTAGGGTACCCAGAAAGGACCAAGATTTAGACAAATGACCATGTAGGGGTTTAGATGGTTTAGGGTTTTAGGCCTCAGGGTTTAGGCTTTAGGGTTGTCAGGGTGTAGGGCGCCAGGTTAGGGCCTTGTGGGTGTCTGTGGCAGTGTTTCCTGATCGACAAGCGAGTGCTCAACAGTATGGGGCTCACGTGTCATAAACTTTGTATGAGGTGCAAAGAGAGGACCCTAATACCCATTTGGGAAACCCCTAAACATCCTAAACCCAAACCCTAAACTCTAAACCCCTCAACCCTAACCCCACCAGCCACCGCCCAAGCAAACAAACGGCACAGCTATTGGCCCTCACCTGCCCCGCTCCCGCTGACGCGGAGTCCTCTCCAAGCCGACTGTCAAGTTTTGGAGAGGGTTTAGGGTTTAGGGTTTAAAGGATTGAAAGGGTTTAGGGCTTAAGGCCTGTGTAGAGGTTTGGGGGAACTATGAATATTTCGGGCACAGCTCCTTTCCAAGCCACGCACCCCTAATTAAATCCCCAAGGCTGAGCAAAGCAACAGCTCTGAAGAGTGGACGAGGAACTACACAGGGTTTTAAGAGTCTAGGGGGGAAACTTGCTCAAGCTAGAGCATGCTCATCCTCAACACCTACCCCACGAAATGCGGAAACCTTTGCGGCGTGCCCTGCAATTAGGTCCTCAGACCAACCGGAACGGCTGTGTGGCTCGGGACTGGCGCTGCTTCCATGCCATAGCTTGCGGATGAAACCTCCGGCCCTCAACCTTTACAGGGTGTACCGGTGTCTTAGGCTTCGGATGTCCGTGTTACTCAGCACCCAAAGCTGCTCTAGGCTGCCCAGTAACCTGGGCTTAGAAAAGGGTGCCCTTTTTTGCTCAAAGGGGTTTATAAGGGAACCTAAACCCCCCCAAAAAGGGAATAAGGGTACTACTGGGCATGGGAGTGCTGCTCACCCTTTGAGTTAAGGGGGGTTGGGTGAAGGTGCCGGCCTCAATCTCTCCTCTACTCCGTCTCTTCCATCATCTTCTTCTCGGAGGCCTGTCGACACATCGGCAGCGCTGCCAAGAAGCTTGCTTGGAACCGCTACTTCGTTTAGGGTTTAGGGTTTAGGGTTTAGAGTTTAGGGTTTAGGGTTAGCATTACAGGTTTGAACACTGTGATGCCTGTGAGGCTCTCCTTCGTACACTCCGAAAACCCTTCATCCTCCGGAATCCTTACAAACCAAAACCACACTTTCAGATACAACAGGGGGCTAGAAAGGGACCACATACGTATGTACACATATGCCTATATATGTATGTGTACCGAATGGTAAAACTACTACTATAATTATGTTAGAACAAATTTTATTGTTATATTATATATGTATATATATATACCCTTACACATATTCTAGAGCCAGTTGCTGCAAAGCACGTCCCAAGTTTAGAACCTCTTCACAACGCAGATTTTAAGGGTCCCTTCTAGACAGAACCAAATGAGCATCGGAAAAAACGGCATGTCTTGAGATGTTCCCCCTTATACTAACAGTCCTCAATAGGGATTTTTGTACCCCCCCCCTTTGTATTCCCTCGTAAGGACTCCTACAAAGCGGCCAAAGACTACGGAGAATACTTGGCCCTGGGTGCTTGTGCAGCGGCCTTCTCCGGAGGCTGTGACCTGGCTCTCAGCAGGGTTTAGGGTTAGTTTAGGGCTTAGGGTTTCGCTTGGCCGTGCAGACTCCACTTGCTAGAAGTCTAAGTGCCATCCACCCTGAAACCGTGGTGAAGCCCCAAACTGAACGGAAAACCCTAAAGCGTTCGACCAGAAGCCGCTCGATCTGGATTCGCTCGCAAAGCAAGTGGTCAAGTGAACGGCTGTTCATCCCAGAGCCAGGCGGCAACAAGAAGAGCATCTAAGAAGCTCGGAGCTTTTGGGGGTTGAGGGCTTAGTTTTCACCTTCGGCGTCGCAAAGGCAACCAGAAGTTTGAGACTCCGAGCTGTTGTGCTGGGACCTTTTTGTTTTCTTTCTAGTAGCTCTGATTACTCGTTGCTCGAACTACTAGTCCAGAGACTTCGGGAACTCACTAAAGAAAGGGGTCTTCAGAATAGCAGTTGCTTCGCTGTACTATGTGTATCCTTCTGCTGGAGACCTACAAGACAGTCTGGGCATGTGACCTGGAGAAGATATCTTCCCCAGATTCTTATGAATTAACTTTGGCTGTCTTCAAATTCATCACGACACATCATGTCATTCACTTTGCGGTCGTTGTTGAAGAATTGGCATTTTTACATGTTCGATTCACGATTCACTATTCCCCTCACATTGCTTAACACCCAAATCCTTCATAAGCCATAGCTCCTGGGGCGTTCCCCCCTTATACTAGCAGTCCTTGATAGGGGGTACTACAATCCCTATTAAGGACTGTTAGTATAAGCAACGTAGCTCCATAAAACCTCAACTGCATGCAGGTGGCTTGTCCAACCATGGTGCCAGCTGATCAGGCACGAAGCCATCCGGACCAAGCTCGGCAATCTTCATCTCCTGCGGATTTCGGGTTCAGCGGAAGTTCCGAGGTCGACGTCTCAGACATACATATATATATATATATGTGTGTGTATGTACATATATATATATATATCACCTCCACTTAACCCAAACAAAGCCCAAATGACCGTTTAACAAGCCGAACTATTTGGGCCTTATTTCGGTGTGGCGTAGCTAATGTGGCGGCTCAAACAGGATTTCATGATTCGCAGGTCGCTGCTCGAAGAACTGATTCAACCCCAAGACTCCCGAAGCCCACCAAAAAGTGCAGCCCACAAGCTATGAGTATGGTTTAGGGTTGAGGATTTGGGATGAAGTGCTGAGGAACAGTCATGAAAGGAATGGTTTACCGTTGTGAGGGGCTCACGGTCCAAAACCCAAAGCATCCAAGTAAGCATAAAAAACTAATGACGCAACGCCCCAAACACCAAACCACCGGACAAAGAAAACTTAGCTTCATGACGAAAATAGGGAACCCAAAATAAAACCTAAAGTGGTAGGATTCGCTTAGAATACGGACCCCAATAGGGTACCGCATTTTCGGAAACCACCATAAAGCAGTGCCCCCAGAAGCCCTAGAAGCCATATGAGCCGTGTAAGACAACCCCTGCGTAACTCCGCCCGGTGCCTCGCAGCACAGGAAGCACTGCAGCGTCGTGTCAACTGCCAGCTCGAAGATGCTTGTGAAGAGGCGCGCCACCACGTAGCCTTCGGGGTTTTACCGGCTTTGGCGCCTTGGGGGGTTAAGTTTAAGCTTAAGCTTTCAGCTCTCTTGTGAATATATATATATATATATACATGTATGTATATATATACATATGTATATTGTTTTTGGAATTTATCTTCTTTTCTGTTGTGTGTGTGTGTTTGTGGTCGGGTGGGGGGCTTTCGGCAGTGCTTCTGCGTTGTTGGGGACTATGGGGCTGGAGAAGCTGACGAGGCGATGGGGCTGCTTTTAGGGTTCTCGGTTGGGATGTTCCCCTTCTAGGGATTATAATAGGGAGTAGTATAATCCCTATCAGGGGAACATCCCAGGTTCTCGAAAATGCCCGTCAAAACAGCTGGGTTTCGGGCCTGAAGCAGATGAAGCCCCGAACCCTCTGAAGCCTCAAGCCCCGAGAAGATAAACCCTGACATGCCTTTTCATCAACAGTCCAAGAAACCAACTCTTTTTGAAGACTTATCACACAATACCCTTAGTCAAGAAACCTCTCTTCCTCAAATCATGTCAGGGAACCTCATCTAATTTAAGGAATGTTCCTTAAATCCTACTTACTCTGACTCAAGGAAGACTCCTTCCTTAGTTGCTTATCGGGTACCCTTGGCAAGGCTCCGGATTTCGGGGCTAAAGGGCTCCAACACATCCTGGAACCTCCAAACCCACAACAGCCCAAAACCCTACACTCTAAACCCTACGCCCTAAACCCGACCTCATCCCTTCAACATCCACGTACTTGTGCTGAAGGACTTTAGAGTGTTAGGGTCCAGGGCCATGGAATCTCGGTCAAAACCCTCCATCCACCCTACAAGCGAGGCGCCAGTCATGATGTAGATGAGGATGGGGACCGCCGGGGCCATGGCCGGATGAAGGCCCTGGCTCTCGGGATGTTGCAGGGTTGAGGGTTTAGGGTTTGGGGTTAGGGGTTTAGGGGTTTAGGGGTTTAGGGGTTTAGGGGTTTAGGGGTTTAGGGGTTTAGGGGTTTAGGGGTTTAGGGGTTTAGGGGGTTTAGGGGTTGGGGTGTAGGGGTTTAGGGGTTTAGGGGGGGGTTTAGGGGTTTAGGGGTTTAGGGGTTTAGGGGTTTAGGGTTGTTTAGGGGTTTAGGGGTTTAGGGGTTTAGGGGTTTAGGGGTTTAGTTTTAGGGGTTAGGGGGTTTAGGGGTTTAGGGGTTTAGGGGTTAAGGGGTTTAGGGGTTTAGGGGTTTAGGGGTTTAGGGGTTTAGGGGTTTAGGGGTTTAGGGGTTTAGGGGTTTAGGGGTTTAGGGTTTAGGGTTTAGGATAGGGGCCCCAATCAGATCATGCAAGAGGGCGGCGGGGAGGTGCGCCCTGAACCCCGCAATGCTGTCATATGCTGGTGAAAGAAGCTATGCCGAAGACTCTGAAGGTGTTGAAGTTGCCGTTCAACCCCACACTCTACACTGCGGCCCGAGGCGCCAGTCTGCACGCGGTCATCAAAACTACGGGACCTATGTGGAAACCTTGAAGTATATAAGGATATGCGATCATGAACATCCAAGAGAAGGCCCCTGACTTGAAACAACCGCCGCATGCAACCCCCCTCCCCCCCCCTCCCCCCCCTAAAAAAAAACAAATGCCCTGATAGAACACAAGTCTAAAGTCATCATCATCATCATCATCATCATCCTCATCCTCATCCTCATCCTCATCATCATATACATACATACATACATATATATATATATATATGTGTGTGTGTCCCTTTTTGTAAATATAAACGCAGATATGTGTGTGTATATATATACAGACATATCAGATCACATAATATCAATGATATATATATATATATATATATATTTATTTATTTATTATACATATATAACAAGTCTACGTACTTGTCTCGTAAATTTGAAGAAATGGCCCCAAAGCCCAAAAATCTCCGGCACCCCCACAAACATGCACGAGTCGCGGAGAGGACAAAGTATCCCAGGACGGCTGTGGCCGCAGTCTGGGAGCTTCGGGGGTTCAGGGCTTTGAATCAAAGGAATTTAGGGTTGAGGGTTCAGGATTAGAGGGCTTCAGGGCTTTGGATCAAAGGATTTTGGGTTGAGGGTTCAGGACGATAGGGGTTCCGTGTCAGGCGTTGGGGAGCAGCGGAGGTTTTGGGATGTGGCTCGGCGTTTGCGGGGCATGCGCCTGTCAAGACACTGCCAACCCCTCTGCCACCTTGCAGGTTGGAAGTCCGCAAGACCCTGAACCTTAACTTAAGGGTATGTGGGGATATAAGTAGCCTAGATTAAGGATAGAACCACAGTTACCAAAGTAATAGCCCCACCCAGAAGTACCCATGAATTTCCGTGTAGCTTCAGACCCTCAGCTCAGCATGCCCAACGACGACGAAGGTCGGAAAACACAAATAAATGTTGTGAGGTCCTTTAGCGCTGCTTAATTTGTTTGCCTAAGTCGCAGCCTGGCTACTTACTAACTACTGTAGGGTTCAGGGTCGAGGCTGATTGGAAGTAGTCGTAGTTGTTTTTTCGATGCGTGCTACTCAATGCAGTCGATCATAAGGTAGGCTGAGTATTGGGAGCAAACCCAACCAGTAGCCCTAGCTGTGCAGCTGCTGAGATAGCTCTTGCTTGCCAACTTGAAACACTCCTGAGCTCTTTAGAAACTCTCTTCATGACTTTCACATACGAAGATACATGGTCAACCCTTACAGTTCATGACTTTCATATACGAAGATACATGGTCAACCCCTTACAGTAAGTCTAAATGGGCTGGCTGTTCTGTACGGCCAGGGATCGATGGACATGATGCCAACGACATGGATCATGCCTTGCAGGGCGGCAGTCCTACACACTAACCCCTTGAACGTCAGTGAGGATTTGCAAACCTTATAATAACTGGATTTCTATGGTCTATATAGGCCTCCGAAAGGATTAGGATTAGGACACAAACCGCGAAATCCTGAAGCCTAAAGTTTTCGTAGGGTTCAGGAGCTCCCTTGACCCGACACCCTTGGGAAGATGAAGCGTCGTGAGGCAGGGGTTTAGGGTTTAGGGTTTAGGGTTTAGGGTTTAGGGTTTAGGGTTTAGGGTTTAGGGTTTAGGGTTTAGGGTTTAGGGCAAGCCCTTCCATCAACCAACAGCACAGCTGAAGCTGACAAGTCTGACGACTTTAGGGGGTTCCTTTAAAGCGGCAGCTTCAGAAAGTTCCCCTACAAAATCCCATAGCTTCTGGAGGTACAGTACACAAAACCGGGTTCGTATTGGGGGGGGCTGTAAGGTGCCTAAAGAATCCGCCAAGGCCGGGGGGCCCTGCCCCCAATCCCCCCCTCTTGCTCCTCCCCCCCCCCCTCACTCGTGCATGCTTTTATCCTCCTGAGAGCCAGGAAGTAAGCCGAGCCTGACACATCGAAGCCCGGGACCCTAGACCCTAAACCCCAAACCTTAACTGTGGTGGACTGACTTGTTGGGGACACTGACGAAATAAGTTTCTGTGGGTTCAAGTCCTCAACCCTAAAATTATAAACCTAACAACACTCTAAACCCTCAACCCTCAACCCAAAACCCAAAACCCAAAACCCAAAACCCTAAACCCAAAACCCTAAACCCAAAACCCTAAACCCTAAACCCAACACAACCCTAGGGGCTTCACGGGGAGTCCCCCCGCGGAGGGCCTCCCAGAATGGCGACGGTTCCGAACCGCAAGGCATTCCTGCGCTTCGAGACGCTGGGGACTAAGGTTCGGGCCCTCAACCCTCTCAACCCTCAAACCTAAACCCTAAACCCTAAACCCTAAACCACTAAACCCTAAACCCTAAACCCTAAACCCTACGAGAGCCCGAAATGCACGCACTGATCCCTACCCTAAATCCTGAGAAACCCTGAGCTCTGGAGCCCTGAACCCGCGATTTATTCTGGGAGGGACGTCAAATGATCCCGCTGCTTTAGTCAGGGTTTCGTTCTTGGGGTCCCACCCGAGCGAACTTGCAAGTGACCCAAGTTCTAACTGTATGGATACGTGCAGTTCGCCCTCACCCCCCAAATCGCGCACTCCTGGAGTGCAGTTCAGTTGCAACTGAATGCCCAAACCCTAAACCCTAAGCCCTTGAAACACACAGATATCCACCCCATGTGCCTCAGAATGAGGAAGAAGGCCTTCTTCGCCGAAGTGCAGAAGTTCGTGCCCATCAAGGCAATCCTTGCGTAACAAAGACGCACTGTTCTGTGGGGTTTAGGGCTTAGGGTTGCGGGTTTAGGGCAAGCGGTTTAGGGTTTAGGGAAGAGGTTTAGGCAAGTGACCCAGGTGCAGAACATCGTAAGAACATAGACTCCAACATCCCTCATGACTAACTCATGTTTGGATCCAAATAACAAGTTCAGGACTCCTTAAACAAGGGGATACTGGAGTCTCTGGGGAAAGAACAGCAACGTCACTTGTGAAAGCAAGCGTTGGTTTTCGCGTGTCTGTTGTCTACTATCTTCGGGAGGGCAAACAGCTATGGCACGCAAGTGAAAAGCGCAAGCCACTTTCCAAATACGAAGCCCCAAGCCCTCATCCATTCGTTCATGCACTCATACGCAACAGCCCAAGCACATCTGCCGTAGCAAAATCGTACCCAGGATACCCATTGCCATTCCTCCACCCAGATGAGAGCAGTGCAGTGCCCCCCCTTCCCTCTAGCAATCACGTCTACCCTACTTGCGGCCTGCGTGCTTGCTGAGAATAGTAGAGTTCAGGATCTCGGAATCCGTCCCGGGGGTGTGCAGGTTGCGGGGTTTGAGTCCACACACAAGGTCCCTCAGATCCGAAGCAAGCTTAAGAAGCCCTAAATCTCATGGCCCATTTCACCGCACGGGGTCTGGATGTAGGCGTTCTTGTTGAGGAACTTGACCTCGTCCAGTGAATGACTCCCATGACTGCTCGGGATACCATTAACATACAAAACTGACATGAGCAGTTCTCCAAATTCTAGTTCATGGTTGGGTAATATTAAAAAGTTAAACGTTTATTCCTTATTGGGTTTAGGTACCCTTAGAAATGTAAACTGTTGCCCAACTATGACCAAGAATTAGGTTCCCTTCTTGCATCTCTGTAGAATACGGCACCCTAACTCTCTGTAGCACAAGACCCGCCAAACAGACCCCTTTTGGAGAACAACGTATATCTCCAAATGCACTCCTTCCTACATCTGAGACGGCCGTGCCCTCCGGTTGTGGTACTCAACTGGAGGTCTTCCAACCCATACAGAAACTCCCCCCCCCCCCCCCCCCAACAAAATTGAAAAAACTAACAAGACCCTGAACCCGCATCCGACAAGCCCAAACACTCAAAAAGCCCTAGAAGGCCCCAAAACAACCCCCCGAAAAAACCCACCCTAAGCCCCAAACCCTCAATAAGCCTCGAGATGTGCCCCCTTTTATACTTACAATCCTTAATGGGGATTGTAATTGGGGGTACGAGAATCCCAACAAAGGACTGTTAGTATAAGGGGGAACAACCCTAAACCCTAAACCCTAAAGCCTATATAAACCCTAAACCCTAAACCCTAAACCCTAAACCCTAAACCCTAAACCCCAGACCCTAAGCGTGCACTGTGCCTTAGGTCTCCTGGGGCCGCCACGCACTTCTCAAAGCACCAGATCAAGCACTGGAGAACTTTTAGGATGAGGACCTTAGGGTTTGGGGTTTGGGGTTTAGGGTTTGGGGTTTAGGGTTTAGGGTTTGGGGTTTAGGGTTTGGGGTTTAGGGTTTAGGGTTTGGGGTTTAGGGCTTGGGGGTTTAAGGTTTCGGGTTTCGGGGTTACGGGTTTCGGGGTTAAGGCTTTCGGGGTTTAGGGTTTAGAGTTTGGGGAAATTGGTGGGCTTGGAGAGCCTTAGAGGTTGCCGGTGCCCTCGAGTCAGATCGAAGGATGGAGAAGGGGTCTTGGGCTTTAGGGGTAAGTTTGGGGCTTAGACTTTTTGAGGCTTTTGGTTGTAGGCTATAGGCGTTAGGGCTTAGAGAGTTTTAGTTTTGGGAGCCCGGCTAACTCGGGGGGAGCTTAAGATCTCAGACGTCGGCCTGTTTTCGGGTCTGCGAGTTTCTGGTCCTGGTTGGAACCCTGAAAGCGCTTAAGACGCTAATGAGGTCTCAAGGATCCACTGAACAGTGTTACCCCGCAGTCTCCCAAGACCCAAACCCCTTAGAACAAGAATGCTGTTAGGCACAGAGCCCGACACAAAGACCAAGAGCCCAACAAACCCCTCAACCCCTAAGCCGCAAACCCTTTAGCCCCTAAGCCCCTAAAGACCTTGAAACCCCTAAACCCCTGAACCCGAAACCCTAAACCCTAAACCCTAAACCCTAAACCCTAAATCCCTAAACCCTAAACCCCAAGCCCCCAAGCCCCTCAAAGAGCCCTAGAGCTGCCCCAGAGCTTCACAGAGCCAAAGGGGCCAGGACTCGGTTCTTCTGGGCCTTGGCCTGTTGCTCGTAGTACTTGAGCATGTACCTCCCGGGATGCGGGGAAGTGAGTTTGAATGATAGGGTTTAGGGTTTAGGGTTTAGGGTTTAGGGCTTAGGGCTTAGGGTTTAGGGTTTAGGGTCTGGGAGTCGTTCTCCACCCACTCCGACTGCAAGAGCTGCTTGTGCGTCCGGCTAAAGATGCCTCCCACTACTCCTGTCTTTTGGGCAAATTCAATCGGATGTGCCCTAAACAGGCCTTGAGGACTAAATCCAGCCAACTGGTTTAGGGGTTCAGGGTTAAGGTTTTGGGGGGTCGGGGTGAGGGGTTTCAGGGTTTAGGGACTGGAATGGGGCGTGGTTTTTACTGCTGTTTGGGGTTTTGGGTTTAGGCGGATTGGAGTTAAGGTTAGGGATGTTTAGGGTGCAGGGTTTAGGGTGAGGTTGTGCATTTAGCGCTTAGGACTTGAGCGTGGCTTAGTGCTTAGGGTTTCAGTCAGGGCTTGGGGGCTTTAGGGCTTACAGGGTTTTAAGCAGGGTTTACGGTTTAGGGGTTTTTAAGGGTTCGATGGTATGGAAAAACCCGAACAAAGACCCATCATCAAGAGAAGCAACGCCCATGACATGTTTGCTTCCTTCTTGGAGGGGGACGACTTGGGGCTTCGGGTTTGGGGCATTTGGCTCTACGAAAAAAGGGCCACCCATCAGTTTAAGCCTAGTCACCTTAAGCAAGATTCCCAGAAAGTCCACCCCTTCTCCCCCCAAAACGTCCCAACGCCCTACGCCCTAAACCCTAAACCCGAACCGAACCAAAGAGGTAGGGTTTCGGTTTCAAGCGAAGATGTTAAGGGTTTAGTGCTGGACCGCTTCAGCCCTCCTCAGCCCATCTTGTTTCAGGGGCTTGCTGCCTTCGGTTAGGCTTTGAGCAGGTTCGGCTGCGAACCCCGCGCGCTAAACTTGCTTTAGCACATTTAGCCCATGACCCTGAAGGTGAACACTTATTTAAGGCCCTTCAGTTCAGAGTTCGAAAGTCGTCGCAGCTCAACGACTTCATAGTGCACGCCCAAACTGTCCAGCCAACCCCTTCCAGCAAGTCCTGTGTCCAGCACAATGACATGAAAGCTGCAATTCTGGTGGATGACTTCGTGCCTGAGCCTATTATCCATTGCGACACAACTTTCTTCCAGGCGATGCACGCCTATGAGCCCCAATGTCATTTCATCCTGTACCCTAAAACCCCCTAAAGCTGTTCAGGCCCCTCCAGGCCTAGAGGCGTCCTTGGCGAGAACAATTTGAGACCCTGCAAACTCCCCAAAGCAGCGCCTGGTGGGACTCAGCTACAAGCTACAGCAAGTCGTCTATCAGCCACAAGCCCCGGGAGCCCAAGCCCGAATCCCAGGCAGTCCAGCCTGATGAACTGGATGACCTCCAGCCATGTTCAGAGTTTCGAGGTTTAGCTACTAAGCTCCTTAGGTTGAGGGCCTGCAGCCAAAGACCCCCAACCTTATTTGCCCAACCACCCCAGACGCCCAACCCCAAACCCGAACCCCAACCTGATTGGCCCAACCATGCAGGTAGCCAACTCTGGGACATGAAAAGGGCCCATTGAAAAGTGGGGGGGGGGGGGGGGGGGGCGATAAGGGAACTTAACCCTAGAAGGGAGAAAGGTCACTAAGTGGGACCCTACGTTTAAGGTTTTGGGTTTTGGGAAACCCTGAACCCTAAACCCTAATCTACTATTTGCTAAAGAACCACCCAAAAACATAAATGTTCTTCCTTAAGTGTCATACAGTGATTATGTTCTTTTCTTCCGGGGGTTCTTAAGCCAATAGTTTGGGATGTTCCCCCCTATACTAACAGTCCTTACTAGGGATTACCATAGGGGGCGGGAACATCCCCAGACGGTATGGGTTGGCCTCGGTTTTCTGGACGAAAAAAACCCAAAACCCCCAAACCCCCAAAACCCAAAAACCCCAAAACTCCCAAAACCTCTACAGAAACAAGCCGGAGAGAATGCTCATCCCAGCTGCCGCGATGATGAAGGCGCCGAAGGCCACGGAGCCCAGGTGGTAGCGGAAGACGGTGTGCAGGGACCGGCGGATGGCATCTGTGGGGGTGGGCTTGTGGTTTAGGGTTTAGGGTTTAGGGTTTAAGGGTTAAGGGTTTAGGGCTTAGGGCTTAGGGTTTAGGGTTTAAGGTTTAAGGGCTTCAGGCCCAATAGCAAGCACCTCTTTCCGCAGCATGTCGGGAGGCAAGGGGGTTGGCGAAAGCTCCCCAAACCCTAAAACCCAAAACTCTAAACCCTAAACCCTAAAGCCTAAAGCGATGGAAACCCAAGCGGAAGCAGCTCGGTAGCCCTCAGAGGCTTCTTGAGGGGTTCGGGCGCAGGGCCAATGAGGGTACATGCCTTAGCTAGCAATAGGGGTTCTGATCTGATTCAAGGAATATTCCTCAATCTAAACCCCCAAGTACCGGGGGAAGAATCAGGGTAGGGGAATTGAGTCCCCAAAATGAGGGCCCGCTCTGAACTTAAGAAATACTGGGGTCTCACCCTGATCCCCAAACCCTAAACCCTAAACCCGAAACCGTAACGAAGAGGGTCCAAGGTGCTCTTGTTGCCTTTGTTGGTGTTCTTGGTGAAGAACCAGACCTTCAGAGTTGGAGGAGTTGGAACTCATCTTATGGTTTAGGGTTTAGGGTTGAGGGTTTTAGGGTTTAGGGTTCTAAGGGTAGTTTTTGGGGCCCTTAGCTGGACTTGGACAAAGTTGTTTATCGTGTTTCACGTAGGGTGTTATGGAAGGGCTGAGGGTTCTGTAGGTTGTTCAATACCGATGCATGGCCACTACCATCCGGCCTCGAGTCGCACAGCATGAACGATGGCAAGCTTGCAAAAGGACATCGAATAGCAGCTAAGATCAAAGCCCCATGTCTCAAACCCTGCCACAAAGTCCTCGAGCCCTCCTACTTTGCAGACTTGCCAAGATCAGCAAAACCATTGCCAATGGAGTTCCTTGCTATGACAGAAAGACGGGTGGTGATCTCGAGCTACAACAGGCTAACTCCTACAGCAACCTCCAAGCCACTAAGCTAAACAGTTCTGTTCCCCTGCGGAGGGAGCCCATGCTGCCCAAGAGCAACCACCGCACCAGCGATGATGATCTGACCGAGCGCGATGTTCAAGGCGTTGTTCCTGGGTGCGGCAAACAAGACCCTGAACCAGCAACCCTAAACCCTAAACCCTGAATCCTAAACCCTGAACCCTCAACCCTGGACCAGGCATGATAGTTGCAAGGTTTCGGGATGGGATTGCAAAATCACGCAATCCGGACTAAACCCGAAACCTGCAAGTAATTTGGGGGCCTTAATAAACCCGAAACCTGCAAGTAATGTCGGGGCCTTAACAATTAGAATAGGGTTTGGGGGGGGGGGGGTCATTATAGTATAACTATAAAGGGACCATGAGGGAATACTATTAGTAATTATTCCGACCCCTACATTTCTGAACATTGAAGCCTGGGTGCCACAGGTACACGAAGAACGACACAGCAAAGCCTGGGAAGAAGTGGGGAGACTTCGGATTTGACGTTGGGCATTGCGTATAGCTTTCTAGGGTGCAGGGGAGAGGGAAAAGGGTGGGAGGGTTAAGGGATTCTGCCTAGTTGGACTTTAGAATGTATGACCTCTTGCCGACACTCTGGGGTGCATCCTCGTGGTTTCCGTCATTAGATGGCGTGCTTCTGCTTTAGGGCTTAGGGCTTAGTTAGGGCTCAGGGCTCAGGGCTCAGGGCTCGGGGCTCGGGGCTCGGGGCTTAGGGCTTGGGCTTGGGGCTCAGGGCTGCAGGAGGTTTAACTTAGGGCTGCAGGAGGCGAACATTTTCAGGGGTTTAGGGTTTAGGGTGTCGGGTTTAGGGTTTAGGGTTTAGGGTTTAGGGTTTAGGGTTTAGGGTGTAGGGTCAAGGGCGTAGGGTTGAGGCTTGACGAGCTACAGTAGGGGGCTTGTGGTCCAAGGTGTTCGGTGGCTCAGAGGGTTTAGGGTCAACTCCTGCGAAGACCCCAAGTCCCAAACCCTGAACCCTGGTAGACCCTCCCGTCGAACCTGCCGCAAACCCCCCTAAACCGGTTTAGGGTGTAGGGAGTTTAGGGTTTAGGCTTTGGGAAGTTTAAGGTTTAGTGAAGTTCGGGTTCCTTAACTCTACCACACCCCGAACCACCCCAGCAAACCCTGAACCCCAAAACCAGCTCGGGCGACGCCAGTCGAAGCCGTAGCGGGGTTGGGAGCAGCGCCAGCAGGCCGGGATGGTTCCATTGACCATCTGCAAAGGAATCAGATGAGTTGATACTCATGGGGTTTAGGGGTCGGCGTTTCGGATTTCAGGGCTTTGGAGGTTAGGGTATGAGGTGTGAGGGTTGAGGGAGAGTTTATGGGGTTTTCAAGCCTTTTGTTGTTTACGTTTTTTTGGGGGGGTTCAATGTTGGGCATGATATCTTTCCGCTGTGCCAAACCTTAAATCAACCCTAACCCCCAAACCCAAACCCCCAATCCCTGGGCCCTAAACCCCAAAACCAAAAAGAAACACGACCAAGCAAGCTCGGTCGACTCATGATGCAAGGAATCAATCGTTCCAAATCAAACCTAGCTGCCGGGACTAGCACCGCCTTAGAACCATACTTTCTTCGTCAACATCCCCTTCGGCTACATTTCTTTAACTCCCCCTGCAGCCGACAACCCCCCAAAAAAGTGCGGAGAGCCGACCTCACAGTTCTCCTCATCCTTCCAGACGCCGCCAGTCGGCCATGTGCCCGTGCACTTTCCTGGAGATGTGCGGCTTGGGGTTTAGGGTTTAGGGTTTAGGGTTTAGGGTTTAGGGTTTAGGGTTTAGGGTTTAGGGTTTAGGGTTTAGGGTTTAGGGTTTTAGGGTTTAGGGTTTAGGGTTTAGGGTTCAGGGTTCAGGGTTCAGGGTTTTCACAGTAGGGGTGCTGGGTGTGGGGAGCCGACAGGTGAGGCTGACATGACCGCCACCATGGCAACAGAGCAGCTCACGTGAAGCCCAAACCCTCGAAGGTACAAATAGACTAGGGCTCGGGGGTTACTATTGTACGATTGTGAAGGGACCAATGCGAATACTCATTGCAATTCTGCGACCCCTACACTACTCAAAGGCAACAGGGCAGGAGTGGCAGGACTGGCAGGAACTGTCCTGGCACATCGGCGGTTCCGAAGGCTTCGGCGTAGGTCACGAAGGCATTCTTTGGCACGTAGGCTTAGTGTGGCAATGAGTGGAGGAGGAGGTGGCAGTTGGACGGTGCCTACATTACAGGCTCGGGTCTGACACGTCGTCTGTTCTGTCTCTGCTTCTCTCTCTCTCTCTCTCTCTTGGAGCGAGAGAGCGGGCGAGAGATAGAGAGAGAGAGAGAGAGAGAGAGCAGCTGAATCAGAGTCCCCCCACAAGCAGCACTAACGAAGGGACAAGACCTGACGCCCCGGCCGCCCCATTTCAGAACAACAGCTCAAGTAGCCACAGAGTTTGCCACGGCACGAAGCTCTAAATTAGGTTTGGGGTTCAGGTTCATGACCTATGCCCGTATGCAGCATGGAACCAGACACTTGGCCCAAAGCCCTAAACTTGAAGCGCAGCTTAAGACGGCTTTGACTTAGAACACATTCGAGGCCAACGCCCTGATCCTTTTCACTGCCGAGTGGCTGTCCGGCACCTGGTAGAGGTGCTAAGTTCAGGGCCAGGGTTCTGAGGGTAGGGATGGATCCTTGGGACATCCAAACCTTTCTAGACTTCCAGTAGCAGCTTTTACAATCCGGGTCCTTTTTCGGCAATGGATTCTATTGTAAAAGTTGCCCCTTTAGGTGACACCTCTTCCCGCATAAATGTATGGATAGGAGTACGCTTTAGGGCATTGGGCTGCAGATGTCCGAAGTCTCAGAATCAAAAATCACATGCTGTCTTGCTTGAAGGTTCCCAGATACAATGATTCCGCCATATTTCCCCACGCAACCCAACCCCAAACCGCATAACCATACATCCCAAGCCCTGCAAACCCTAAACCCTAAGCCAAGCCCCCTATAAGCCTGTAAACGCTATAAACCCTATAAAGCTTATAAGCACAAACCCTATAATAAACCTGATACACCCGATGAACCTTTCCCCAACGAGGACCATGAGAAGAAACTTGGCTGCGGATACAACCCTAAACCCTAAACCCTAAACCCTAAACCCTAAACCCTAAACCCTAAACCCTAAACCCGAAGGAATGTCGAACCGATGGAGCCCGCCCTTCACAAGGCATCTTCACCGCGATACCACAGAAATCCTGCAATAGGGATTATAAGTGGGGTTTAGGGTTTAGGTGTAGGGTGAAGGGTGTAGGGTTTAGGGGTGCGAAAATCGCTTGAGTTTAACCTCGGAATCTGCTTGTGATATGGTTTTGCGAACTTGGTCCCTCGTCATGCATGACACTCGGGCAACTAGTATAGCTAACACTGCTACTTTGACTGCAGGCAAATCCGAGAGGCAGCCATAGAAAGCTCTTTTCCTAGAGGGCCCATTTGCAATACGCACAAAAGGCACTCCAAGCTACATCAAGACAGGGGAGGGCACCTGGCTCAGCAAGAAGGCGGCGGAGAGGCCCCAAACCAGCGTCCAAAGGCCAGCCAGCAAAGCCTGCCATCTTTCAAAGCCCAAAGCCTCTAAGCCAAAGCCCTGCGAGCCCCTGTGCAGTGTGTGTACAAGTATGCTTGGTTGCTCTAACGAATGTACCGCCCGTCCCCGACTCTTCTCTCGTATATAGTATTATATAAACGAAAGTTAAAAAAAAAAATCCCAAGGGGGATATGGTACATATAGCTCTTGGGGGTGTCCAGGATGCCAAGCTCGGGGCTTCCCCAAGAGTTTGAATTTTGCAAGTGAGACGTCCTTGAGGGGCTCCAGGGAGGAGCTGCCGGCATCATCCGGAATTTGGGGTTTAGGGTTTAGGGTTAAACGGTTTGGGGTTTAGGGTTTAGGGTATCCCGATAAGAGCCGTCCAGAAGCTGCACACCCTAACACCCAACAACGTCGAAGCCTGAGCAGCCCACAACTCTAGAACCCTGGAGTCCCAAAACCTCGAAAAGTGGCTTTTAGAACCTTAGACCTGAAAACAAGACTCCCATCAGAAATGCTCAGACCCCAACGCCCACAGCAACAAGTCGAATATTTAAGGTTCCTCCCTTTCAAAAAAACATCTTCTGGTATCAAAAATTCCCAATGCAAGAGGTGTCTCAAAGGGAGTTTACCTCGAAGCTTCGGACATGAAGCCGTCTTTGATCCAAAGATCCAACAAGCCGCCCCCCCCCCCCCTCTGAACCCTCCTAAGCCCCTTCCTGGAGTTTCATGTGCGTACTTATAGGTAGGTTACGACTCTATTTGGGGCACTTATGACACCACTTATATGGGGGGTTTACCTTGATAAGGGACCCCTATTTCCGGCAGCCAGATAGTAGGCTCACCTTACAAGGACCCCAACAAGGTGCCCCCCTCATATAGCAAACCCCCATATTAGAACTCTAAACCCGAAACCCTAAACCCTAAACCCGAAGCCCCCATATGAACCTCAAATTCACCAATGCGTCCCCTATCCAGGCCTGCACTGCAGGCAACACCAGAATCGCCGGTGTATGCACAACGAAGACGGAAGCCACCTGCTGCGATCGCGTTTGGGGTTTAGGGTTTCGGGTTTAGGCCTTAGGGCTCAGGGCTTAGGGCTTAGGGTTTAGGGTTTAGGGTCTGCCCTATCTTTCTCCCAAAATCCCTGAAAACCTGGCGGAAAAGAATCCTTTGCGCAATCGGTTTGTAAAGCAACGGGAAAGCGGGAGTCCCAACGGTCCGCTCCTTGACAGTTCGATTGGGTTGGCCTTTCAGCCCTCTGAAAAATATTGAAACATAGGGTCCCTTACAAACCCAAATATGGAAAATAAACAATGTTCCAAAAACCAACCTAGTCGAACAACCCCCAAAAAATCTCAGACTCTAAACCTTCGATGCAAGACCGCAACCCCGTGAGGGTTTAGGGTTTAGGGTTTAGGGTTTAGGGTTTAGGGTTTAGGGTTTAGGGTTTAGGGTTTAGGGTTTAGGGTTTAGGGTTTAGGGTTTAGGGTTTAGGGTTTAGGGCCTAAATCGGCACGTTCCTGCGACTCCTGCCCCTTGCACAAACACACCAAAAAAGACACGCAAGGGGGTGGGCCTTGTTGACTGCAATGGCCAATCGAATCCTGTCAGACACCACATCAGGTCCCTCAAATCTGGGCCGACATGTAGGCAGTAGATCCCCCTAAAATTCCGGCACAGCTGAATTGCAAGCATTCCCCAGACCGACATGGGCTGGCATCCTGGGAAACAGCAAGGGGGCTTCCACAAAAGCCCCCTGGGGATGCCCTCCAACCCTAAACCCTGATCTCACAAGATCGTAGAGATCCGAAAGCCCCCGGCACCCTGAAGCGAACCTCCTTACAAGTAAGGACGTTCACGGTTCGGCGGCTTAGGTTTAGGGGTTCGGGGATTATGCTAATTCAGGTTTAAGGCATCTTCCTAAATTCCGTTCTCTGGGACCCTTGGTGCCACCGGAGCAAAAAATGCATGGCATAGCATAGGCGTCGCAAGACGCCCGGTCTGCGGCAGCCTCTCAAGATCAAGCCCCAAACCTTCACCGCAAGCCCAAAATCGAAAGCGAAAATCCTGGAATGCTGGCCTAATCCCTTCAAACCCCCGTGTGGGCTGTGGGTTCCTTTAGGATCAGGTCAGGTACTGCGCAATCTCTAGGCATTAAGGACGCTGTTAGCAGGGAAGAATCATAAGCCCTAGTTGGGGTTTCAAGTTAAGTCTTATACGGCTGGGAGAGACTCCACGGTCTTTTTGTCGGGCTTAAGGCTTATGAAAATTGAGACTGGAAGGGGCCTGAATTATGAGGCTCTTATTGATTGAGGAAATGCCCCTACCGAGTTGCCTTTTGTTTCCTTGTTTGCTTTGTTCGGGGGGGGGGGGGGGGGGGCATGGTTCAGGCTTTTGGGGTCCACATGAGGTTTAGGGTTTGGTGGTTCAAGCATCCTACAAGAGACAACGAGGGTTGTGGAGCTTCTGCGAGACCGTCAGCACCAAGAGACGACAAACGGCGATTTTGCCACCCTATAGAATCTAGACCCTAAGCCTCCCAAACTAAAGAAGCCGCAAATCGCAAATCGCCCAACATACGGTGTCCTCTGTGTCAAGCAGCAGACTCCGATGCAGTAGATGAACGCAAGAACCTTTTCGGGTCTAGGGTTTGGGGTTAGGGTTTAGGTTTAGGGTTTAAGGTTTAGGGTTTCTGAAGCGAGGTTAGGGCTGGCAAGATCGACATAGCGCAGGGCCCTGTTTACACGATAAGTATACCTTGCAAACCTCTTCGAAATCTATTTCTATCAAGCACCTGGGGAAATCACAAAGAGCAGTCGCAATGGCCACTACATCTGCCGGACGGAAGCTGCACGGGTGGAGGGGTGTGACTAGGGCCTAGGGTTTTGGGATGCAAGGGCCGAACCGGCAAGCTCAAGTTTAGGCCCCAAGGTTTACGGTTCACTGTTCACCCCATTCATCCCCATTAGACCAGCATGGGCGTGTTTGGAGTTTTGGGCCGTTCAGGGTTCAGCAACTTCCGAACAAGCTTGCATACACGGCTTTTAGGGTTTCGGGCTGTGAGGTTGTTCAGGCCCTTTGAACTCGAGACCTCCAGCTTCCCTCAACACACCCGGTCGTTAAGCTCTGCACAAAAACGCGACCCTCCACCCCAACTGAAACCCAAACCCTAAAACACACACCCTAGCCCTAGCAGCTCCAACGCAGGCTCTCCCAAACTAAGATTCGCACCCCTTCGAGCGTTCGTTTATGAAACGTTCACATTCTCTATTGCGACAGGTAGCCTGGGAACAACCCCACGTGTGGCTTGCACGGGAGCCCTCCTGGGGCCCCTGTGAACCTCCGGAGGCGCCTCTTTGACCAAACCCCTGCTAACCAAGGCCAACAAGTTTTCAGAGGTGCTCTGCAGCATCTTTTCCTCCACCCGCGGTCGCTTCCCGTATGTGCAACCCGACCTTGTGGACTGGAAACTCTCAAGTGCATGGCTTGGACCGCCAACGTGCACGTCCCGGTGACTTGGGCCGTCCCGGCTGCCGAGGCGGTGCAAGCGTTTACAGAATCTAAGCTCTTATCCTTTTTGAGTTCGGCTCTGCGTGCTGTCTTAGGGCTTAGGATGTTTTGCTTCAAGGGGCCTCCCGCCCTTCGAAAGCTGAGGCTTGGACCCAAAGGATGTAAGCAACAATCTCGAGGACGATTCGCAACTCCTACAGGTCCGAGATGTAAGCCCCGCTCAAGATCGGTTGGGTTCAGGGCTTAGGGCCAATTAAGCCGATGTCGAGTTTGGGTACCAAGGGGGGGTGGGGGGGAGGCTTGAAACCCGGTAATTAGGACATTCCTTAGGCTCCTGCATACATCGGGACAGGAGGTCCTTGCACCAAACCGCCAGATGAAGCGTGCCTTCCTGTGCCCCGCCACTCTGAAAGCCCCGAGCCTCCTTAAGCCCCTAATACCCTCACACCCTAAACCCTCATACCCCAACACACTCATGCCTTGATACCCAAATACCCTAAAACCCTGAACCCTCATACCCTAATACACGTATACCCTGATACCCTAATTCCCAACTGCCCTACTACCTTCGGATGTCCCCCCCCTTTGCTAGCAGTCCTGAATGGGGATTATAGTGCCCCCTACTATATTCCCTATCAAGGACTGTTAGGAAAAGGGGGAAACACCCCAACTAATACCCCTAATGCCCTAAACCTCTGAGTCGTCCTCACTGCTGATGTCGTAGCCTCCCGCGGTGGGTAGATCTACCCCCTTTAGGGTTTAGGGATTGGGGTTTAGGGTTTAGGGTTTAGGGTTTAGGGTTTAGGGTTTAGGGTTTAGGGTTTAGGGTTTAGGGTTTAGGGTTCAGGGTTTAGGGTTTAGGGTCCAGGGTCTAGGGTCTAGGGTCTAGGGTTTAGGGTTCAACCCAAGCCACGAAACCTGAAAACCGCAAAGCCGAAGCTACGAATGGCCTTAGGGCAGGTCGTCTCCCAAATTTAGGGGTACCTTTGTATCCAGAAACATCCTTGTTCTTCGAAACCTCCGGAGTAGATCCCCGAATTTGGGAAACTCACATTGAGTTGTTTAGGGATTCGTGTCTCATGCAATCCCCGGCACACCAGGTAAGTCAACATCAAGAGGCTTAGGGTTCAGTGCTGCAGACACCGCAGGCCCGTTCTGGCGCGTGACTCGAGCAGCTAATTGGCACGTTCATATCAACCACCTGCTAGGGATGACTAGCCTAAAGCTGCGAACATAAGATCCTAAACCATACACCCGACAGGACCTCTTTGGGGCCGAAGCCCTGACACCCTTAAGTCTCAAAACTCTGATCCCCTGAAACCCGAACGACCTTCTGCCAGAATCTTCCGAGGGCCCGGCCACCGTCGCAGATTGGCCGGATTTGTCCGATAGGGTTGCACTCCTTCACTTCATACAGCTTATTAGGGTCTAAATTGGGATGTAACCGTCCTTCATAGGGATTGTAATAGGGAGGGAGGCCTATAATCCCCATAAAATCTGTGAGTATTGTTAGGGGGAACATCCCGTTTATGGGATTCACGGGGGGCCTTTGGCCAGTGATGGAGGGGTTCGTGGCTATTTCATGTACAGCATCAGCAATTGCAAGCACCTATGATAAGCAGCAACTAAGCCTCCCGACCCCTAACCCCTGTAGCCCAAATCTTATGGGAGTCCCAAGAAAGAAATTGAACCCTTGTACTTACTGGGTAGCATGACTTAACCCGGAACCAAGAAAAAACACACCACCGGCTGTCCGAGAACTTAGAGACTGCGTGTTTGAAGTCGAGCCGACAACGGGAATCACTGAAGCACTAGGCGTTCGTTAAGGGTGTTGGGGGGGGGGGGGGGCCGCAGGTTTGGGAAAACTTGTCATGGTGCTTCCCTTGCTGCGATCTTGGGAAGCATGGGCGGTCTCCTGCCAGTTGTAGTCTGGATCCTGGGGCAGGTATGACCAGAAGCCCTGGACCCCCTTTTCTCGAAAACACCCCAAAACCCTCCAAAATTCCACAACAAAACAGAATTCCTCAAATCTTCCAAGGCGGCCCAACCCTTTAAGCTACCTGAAGTTCCCCATTTAAGGTACACTTAGGCCCATCTTAAGGGGGTTTAGAGCGTAGGGTTGAAGGGGCGGGCTTCAGAACGTTCACAAGGGAACCGACAAGGCGTTTAGGGTTTAGGGCTTAGGGTTGAGGGTTTAGGGTCGCGATTTAGTGTTTAGGGTTGAGGGGTAAGCTTCAGGGTTTCGGGTGTAAAGGGGAAGGTCCTGCATGACAGACTGACAAGGCGTGGCGTGGCCAGACCACGTGCAATCGAAAGCCGATTGCAGACTGACACCACCAAATTTACACTGGTCGGGATCATTCCAGCTCTGCAGAGAGAGAGAGAGAGAGAGAGGTTTAGGGTCGGGGGGTTAGGGGGGATTGCCCAGAGGAAGCGTCTTTGAGGGCTTTAAGGGGGTTGCTCTAAGGCCAATGGTCTGCCAAGCACACAGCCACAGGGGGTTCGGATTTAGGGCAACCTTCCAGATCTGTGGTGCCTGGGTGAAGCACCAAATCGTCTTCGCCTTGTAGCGATCAGTGTCCTGTCCACACAGGAAATGTCTCTTGAGAATCTGTAACTCAGGCCCGAAACCTCTACAGGATTTAGGGGTTTATGGCTGAATTTTATTAGCCTACGCCCTACCTACATCCATTGCCGCGTCTCTTGACCCAAGAAGGGAGCCGTCTTGAAGTGAGGCGGGGTACAAGTAGGTTGTTAAGCTCCTTGAGAAAGGTCCGAAAACAAACCCAATGTTGGCATTACGTTTATCCCAAGCAGAATTACAAGCCGCCAAGCTGCCATGAAGACCCAAACCCTGAAGCCCCCGAAGCCCCCACAGAAGTTCCCAGAGGGTGCGGGATGTGACGGGGTTTCGGGTTTACTCAAAGGCTACCTTGGGGGTCCTTAAAGCAGGGACACCTCGGCTAGCTCAGGGGTAAGGAGTCTACTGTAGGGGCCTGGATAATTAAACCGGGGTTTTGGGGGGGGGGGGGGGGGTTATTATAGTATGACTACAAAGGGACCATAAGGGAATATGCTTAGTAAATATTCCGACTCCTACATTGCCCTTCTTGATTTAACGCACAAAATGAGCAGGTTCATCAGAAGCTCAAGGCGTGGGGAACTGATCCCTACGACTTGGGGCTCCCTTGGCTTAGGTTTAGGGTTTAGGGTTTAGGGATTTAGGGTTTAGGGTTTAGGGGTTTAAGGATTTAGGGATTTAGGGTTTAGGGTCCTAGGGTTTAGGGTCTTAGGGTTTAGGGTCTTAGGGTCTTAGAGTTTTAGAGCTTCTTTGGTGGTGTCGCGCGGGCGGAGGGAGGGCCCAGCCTGGAACGGGTTGCGGCAGAAGTTTTGAACCAGGTTCCTCCGCACATGGGGCTCAGAGTAAAGGATAAAGACCTGAATAATTAGAACAGGGTTTGGGGGTTACTATGGTATATTTATGAAGGGACCATAAGGGAAAACTTTTAACCAATAATGGCCACTATCCTTGTTACCTATAAGCCCTAAAGAAGGAATAAGGGCCAACATGGGGGCCTAATAATTCGAACAGGGTTTTGGGGTTACTATGGTCGTAATTCTTCCGACCCCTATAGTCTTCCAACCCCTATAGTAAGGATAGGGGTCAAGAAGGTGTTTGCCATGCATGTGTTCCTTCTATATAGGCCTAAACCCTAAACCCTAAACCCTAAACCCTATAATGTTGGACTGGCTTTAGTGAGAAGGGGCACTATTATGCGATGTTCCGGAAATCCTATAGGGGACCCCCCATTGTTTAGGGTGGTCCTCAATTATGCGATGTTTGCCGGCCGGGGTTGAAGGGCGGGGGGCCGGGGAGCCAAAAACTAAAAACAGCTTTGAATAAGAAACTCCGGGTTTTTTTGGTGTCCAGCCTTATTTAAATTCTTTTTAAATTTCATTACGAAACAGGCGCCCAAACAATTTTCCAAGGGAGTAGCCCACGAGCTGCCCTGATTCGCTTTAGCAAGTTGTTTCGGTGGTCCGCATTTATGCGGAGCCCCGGCGACCGTGGAGCTACAAAGCCTGGAAAGCTTAGACCCTCAAGCTTCAAGGCTTCCCCTCAACCCTCGACCCCTAGCCGCCCTACCCCCAGCCCCGTCCCAGCCCCAGCCCACACTATTCAGGATCCCCGAAAACCCCAAAATTGTTTGGGGGGGGGGGGGGGGGGGGACCCCTACGTACTAAAGCGAGTCCAACATTACCCTAAACTCTAAACCCTGAGGTGTGGGGCTTTGCGTTGGGAGTCTTGGTGAGTTAGGGCGTCCGACGGGTCTCCGGCCAAGGAAGGGGCCAGGGCGCTTTGGAGGTCTAGGGTGGCCTGATCAGAAGTTACCGCAAAAATCAACTTATGTCTCTTCAGGAAACCCCAAACCCTAAACCCTAAACCCTAAACCCTAAACCCTAAACCCATGTCGGCCCAAGAATCGAGTTGGGGTAGTTGGCCGAAGTGTACAGGGAACCCCTCGAGTCTGGGATCGCCGCATCACCTCGGGCCAGGGGGTTGATAGGGGTTGATAGGGGTTTAGGGTTTAGGGTTTAGGGTTTAGGGTTTAGGGTTTAGGGTTTAGGGTTTAGGGTTTAGGGTTTAGGGTTTAGGGTTTAGGGTTTGGGGTTTAGAAATTTAGGGGTTGTGGTTTAGGGGTTGAGGGGGTGGAGGAGTTCTAGGAGTCTTTGGGGTTTAGGGGCTTAGGAGGGTTTTGGAGTTTCAGGGGTTAAGGGTTTTAGGAAGGTTTAGGAGTTTAGGAGTTTAGGAGTTTAGGAGTTTAGGAGTTTAGGAGTTTAGGAGGTTAGGAGGTTAGGAGGTTAGGAGGTTAGGAGTTTTGGAGTTTAGGAGTTGAGGGGTTTAGGAGTTGAGGGGTTTTGGAGCTTTAGGAGTTTTGGCGTTTAGGAGTATAGGAGGTAGGGTTTAGGAGTTTAGGGTTTAGGGTTCAGGCTTGGAGGTCAGTGGCTTGTTGTGGTGTGGTGAAGAATAGGATAGAGAAGGGTTTGTGAAGCTTGGTAATATGCCAAACCCCAAGCCCTCACACAAGCCCGACTTAGAATTTCCTACCAAATCCCGGACCCAATCCTATAAAGCTGGAAACCCAAGTAGGTAGATCATCAGGGCATTCAAGGGCATCCCCGTCATGAGTATCTTGCAGGGTACTTGGGTTGAGGATTACACTTCAGTGTCTTTCCGGTTTCGGATGCAACTGTGTAGGGTTTGCAGGGTTGGGTCGGGCTGCAGAGCTTTAGGGCCTTTGCAGGGCTGGGGTCATTGGAACTTCTGAGAGAGCCTTCTTTTGCATGACGAGGAAAGAGTGTCTGCTGAAGCGGTGCATCGATCAATAGGTTGGAGTTAGGATCTTATGGGGGCTGGCCTTCTTGCTGTGGGCGAAGCAGACACTTCTAGATATAGGGTTTATAGAGCTTCATTCCTCCATTGCTGACTATGGCCGGCTGACGAAGCATCAGCAAAATGTTGAAAGGCAGGCGTGGCATATGGGCATTTCCGGAAATAGAGGTACCCTTATACCCCCAAAAACGCATAATCCTTCTTATAGGAACCCCCAAAAAAGTCTAATCTTTCTTTCTTCTAGGAACCCCAGAAGGGCACCCCACCTATTTTCGGAAACCGCCACATGCACACCTCGCAACCACACCTTGAGGCAGCTGTATACTGCTCTTCCGGGTGCGAGCGTGGGACCCAGTTCTAGACCCCGTAGGGTTATAGGGCTTTATTGTTTCTATTATTAGTAATATTATGAATTCTTATTAGGTTGGGTATGAGCTGTAAACCACATGAACCAAGCCTGTCTCAGATGCTAGTGTACAAGGAGACGGTCGTCGTGCTACGTATCACCGCCGCGCGCGCACTTCAGGCGCGCTCGTTGATCACCGGCAGAGGCCGCTTCTCGCGAACGGCCAGCCGACATTCGTCCTCGGCTGTGGCACCGGATCCCACTGAGGCCCTAACCTCGGCCCTGAGCCACTTTCGTTGTAAAGCTTGGGGGTTGACCTCCTAATGTTGGACTGACTTTAGCATAAGCAGGGTCTATCATCACAAGTTTCGAAAATTTATTCTGCGAACCGAGCTTGTTCAGGGTACCCGCTGTTATCGCAAGATTCTTCCGGACGCGTTTTTTTGGTTAAGGGTTTGTGTTTTGGTTTTGGGTTAAGGGCTTACGCAGTAAGGCTGGCCCTGAGGGTCTTGGACTCCAGGAATCTTAAAGAGCCAGAGCGCAGAGAATCCAGAAATCTAAGCCCGGCCAGTTCCATGTACAGCCTAATGCAAATTCATTACGAAACGAGGCCCCAAACAAATTTTGTGACAGGCAGCCCACGGGCCGGTCGGGCTGTCTTTAGTAAGTTTGTCTGGCTACCCTCTAGAATACCAAGTTTTTTTCGGATGCTTTTTTTAGGGGTTTGTGTTTAGGGTTCAGGGCTTACGCAGTAGTTAAGGCTTGGCCCTGAGGGCCTTGGGCTCCAGGAATCTTAAAGGCTGGAAAGCTTCAGGCCTTGAGGTCCTGAAGGCTTGAGGCCCTGAGGGGAGGGCGGTTTCCCCCCCCCCCCCTCCCAAATTTGTTTCGGGGGGTCGCCGCGAAAATGCGTTTATGGAGGGTCCAAATTTGTTTGTTTGGGGGGGATACTAAAGACAAGTGCAACATTAGGATACATATATTATTATATATATATACCTGTAGCAAAAAAAACCTTTCCCAAGCATGCTCTGGCTTCTTCCAGGGCATCTGCGGCCTTTCCGATGTCTCGCACTTTGGATGCAGGGGCCTTGGCGATAGCAGCCTCGATGACGCTGCCAGCTGGGCCGCCGCTTCCTGTCTGATATCTGGGATCGCGCTCCCAACTGGTGTCCTGGTGCCAGGTTTTTGGAGGAGGCGTTGGTATTCACGGTGTAGAAAACTAGGTCATGAGGTCCAACTAGGTTCAAGTATCCTACTGAAAGCAGCCCTATGACGCCACTACCCTATCGTCCTGGTGCTCAAAGACAACGGCCCAAGCCAGGCACTCGGCCCATCTACCAGTTAAACTTCCATTTGGACCGATCTCCGGCTCAGTTCTGCCACAGTAGTCCTCGGCAAGGGTTTCGGGTTTAGGGTTTAGCCTTGGGGGGAGGAGGGGGGGAAAGAAGCCCAACCATGAAGAAACCCCCACCCACCCAGAGCCCTTACAACCCAAAGGGCAATCGGAAAGCCGAAAAGATGTACATATGGAGTGTGGGCATAATATATAAACCCCTCTATACATTATATGTATATATATATATCTACCATATATGCGTACCTGAGACAGGAAAAAGTGTGGGCATATGGGGGGGGGTACCATATATATATATATATATATATATATAAAAACACTGAACCAGCTGTTTTGAGCTCCAGTTCCGACCAGGACTTCCCGTTCGGGGCTGCAGTGCTCATGAAGCCGCCTGCGGATTTCGTGAGCCCGCGGCTGGGGGGTGCGGGGCTCTAAGGGGTTCGGTTTGGGATGTTCCCCCCTTGTACTAGCAGTGCTTAGTAGGGATTCTAATACCCCCCCCCCCCCTTATGATAATCCGTATTAAGGGCTGCTAGTATAAGGGGGACCATCCCGAGATCTCTGGGTTTGGGGGGTTTAGGGGTTTCGGCTGAATTCGGGTTTAGGGTCTAGGGTCTAGGGTCTAGGGTTTAGGGTTTAGGGTTTAGGGTTTAGGGGTTTCGGGTTCTTGGTTCAATCGGCGGGTAGGGTTTAGGGTTGAGGGGCTTTGGCCCAGTGGGAAATCTGCAGCTCTGGCTGAAACTCTGTGAGAGCTTCCCCACACCCTAAACCATGCAAACACCAAACCCCGCAAATTGTTTATAGCATGCCTAAAGCCTAAACTAAATCACACTTCTAAGCTACCCCCAAAACCCTAAACCCTGCAAACTCTAGAGGGCCATGACTGCTTAACCGCCAAACCCCCCAAACCCCCCAAAGCCCGCAAACCCAAAACCCTGGTCCACCTAGCTATACCCCCCTGGAGCCACAACAAAAATGCTCAAAAAACCCGTGGGCTCCACATGAACAAAAAAACGAAGCGTATTTCAGAAGAGAGGGCATAGCTCGCGAGCCTGGTTGGCTGGTCAGCTGCGTACCCTCTGCGCCGCCAGCGCCGCCTGCGCCACCCTGCCAGTATGGGTTCCTCGAGCTCGGCTGAGGGCTTCGGGTTTGCAGCTTGGAGTTTAAGGTGTGCGAACCACTGGGCGGGAATAAATTGGGGTACAGAGGCCAGAACAACAGGACCCTAAACCCTCTCTAAACCCTAAACCCTAAACCCTAAACCCTAAACCCTAAACCCTAAACCCTAAACCCTAAACCCTAAACCCTGAACCTAAACCCTCAACCCAAACCCGAACTCGAAACTCTGAAGTCTTGTGGAGACTCTGAGCCGGCTGAGCAAAGCCCCCTTGGTAGCCTGGCAGGGGCCCCATCGGATCTGGACCGCCATACCTTGCGAGCTCTAGGGCTTCGGTTTAGGGCGGAAGTGTGGAGGGCTTCGGGTTGAAGGGCTTGGGATCAGGGCCCTCTGTGGGGAGTGAGGGGATTGGATTGATGCGGCTTTCGGCTGTTTCGGGGAGGGCCCTCGACCCCAAACCCTGAACCCTAAACCCGAAGCCCTACGCCCGCAGTCCCACAACCAAGTTCAGCCTAGGCGCTGGTATTCTTGGTTCTTCTTCGAGGCGCAGAAGTACATGCCACCAAGGCAGCCACAGCACCTCAGGGTTGGTTTGAGTTGGGATGTGCCCCCCTTATACTAACAGTCCTTAATAGGGATGATAATCGGGGGGGGGGGGGGGGGGTACTAGAGTCCCTAGTGAGGACTGCAAGTATAGGGGGGGAACATTTCCAGGTGTAAGTCTTGTAGGGCTGGGTTCGGCCTGCCCCCCACTACCGAAACCCTGAACCCTAAACTATTCCTTTGACAAGAGATGCGAGACAAAACTAAAGATAAAGTGTAACGGTGGGGGCTAAGCGATTTGAGAAAAGTGCAAATCCTGTAACACTTTCGAAACCTGGTAATATGCATGTGATGCCTCCAAACAAGACTTTCAAGAAGTGGAATACACACGGCAAAGATCTGATTGGTTGCGCAAACCTACCCGAAACCCTAAACCCTAAACCCAAACCCTAACCCTAAACCCTAAACCCTAAAAGAAGTAATTTATATGGACTTCTCCCTGGCCCGAAAGCATGAAAGAATCCAACAATCAAGACCAGGCTTGCCCAGGCCAAGGCACACCAAGAGGTTAAACAAGCCACCACCGCCCGCCTCAACTGGAGGATCGTCTTCCAAGGTTTAGGGTTTAGGGTTTAGGGTTTAGGGTTTAGGGTTTAGGGTTTAGGGTTTAGGGTTTAGGGTTTAGGGTCTAGGGTTTAGGGCTTAGGGTTTAGGGTTTAGGGTTTAGGTTTTAGGGTTTAGGGTTTAGTTGGTTTATGTCGGCCTTAGTACGAACATTCGAAACCCTACACCGACTAAGCTCAACTTGCGCCTGTATGCTTTCAGCCCGAAGCCCTGCACTCACCTCAGAGATTGGAGTTTAGGGTTCGGGTTAGGTCTATGCTAGCAGCTCGCCGTGGTTTAGGGGTTTCGGCCCAAGTTTCGGGCTTGGCGTTTGGGGCTTAGGGTTTGGGATTCCGGCGCCTCATGCCCGCCAGCGTAACCGCCAGCGTAAGACCGTTGAGCTGACGGCTGGCTCAGCGAGGTAAGGGTCAGGAAGAGCTGCTTCCTGAGTTAGGGTTCAGGGCTTGGGTCTGTGCTCTGTTTGCCCGACTCAGCGTCTTGGAGGTTTGGTAGGAGCAGTTTGGGAGTTGAGGGTTTCAGTAGGCTTTTTGGGGCTCTAGGGCGGGGAGTTGAAGATGAATGGCATAAGGTGTCTTTGGCATGCTGCCACACGGGGACATGCCCACCCTTCCAAGAACGTCGCATGCTACTCCTGGTGTTATGTCAGTCACGCCAGGGCTGCTACCCCCAAAACTTGGGATGTTCCCCCTTAGGAGGAGGCACGATAATCCCTGATAAGGCTGTTAGAATTTGGGGTAACATCCCAACCCGAAACCCTTAACCCTCAAACGCTCCAGCCTTTGGGAGTTCAGGGCTTGTGAGAAGGTCGGCCGTGGGCCCAGTTAAGGGCTTCGGGCTTTAGGCTTAAGGATGTGGGGGTTTTTGAACCCCAAAACGCTGAGAAGAGCTTCATTTCCGGAGGCTGCCAGTCCCCTGCGTTCTTGGAGGGAGGGCACACCACAGACCTCAGCTGATCGAGCCTCCCTGATCTCCTGACCCTTGCGACATGTACGTACCAGAAGAGGTTGCAAGATACTAACAGCTTTGACCCTAGACAAAACCGAAGGAACTGACTTCGTTCTGTCTCACAAAATCGAAGAGCTGGGACAAAATTATTAAAAGAGAGCCTCGAGACGGGTTGAAGTCTGAGCCAGAAACATGTGTGATGTTCACGGTGAGGGGCCAGGTGACCTGCGATGAACGCTAAACATCAAAGCCATAACGTCCCAAACTCTGACCCTTGAACTCTGAAGCCGTGCACCCTAAACCCTAAACCCTAAACCCTAAACCCTAAACAGCCCTAAACCCTAAACCCAAAACCCTAAACCCCTCAAGGCCTGCCTCGGAAGGTGCGAAGCCCGTGCTCATGAGATCGTCCCTCGTGGCGTCGATCTTCGGCGACATCATCACATTGCAGGAGGAACCTCGCTGGAGGGGGTTAGGGTTTAGGGTTCAGGGTTTAGGGTTTGGGGGTTTGGGGTTTCGGGTTTGGGGTTTAGGGTTAGGGAGTATTGGCGGTTTAGCCGTTGATAAAGCGCAGGACCTGCGCCATGTTTTTCTCTTGGGGGCTTGGGGCTTTGAAGGCCTTGGGAGGCTTCGAGTTGCTAGGGCTTGAAGAAAAGTTCACTCAGCCCGAAACTCTCAGCCCCGAAACCCGGAACAACAACGTCCCAATATCCCGAAACCCCAAGCCCTAAACCCTAAACCCTAAACCCTAAACCCTAAACCCCACAACAAAAAAGGTGTTTGAAGGTTCAGAGAGAAGGGGCCGCCGTAGAGGCTGACGCAGGAGCTGCAGGAACCCGACCAGGGCCCCGAGGTGCAGGGCATGCCGTAGAGGTCCTCTCTCTGCAGGGGCTTTTGGGGGCTTCAAGAGCGGGCTACGGGGATGAAAGCACAGCAGGCTCAGTAGTTTACGGGTTCTGGGTGGCGGGGTACAAGTTTTGGAGCTTGAGGGCTTTAGGGGTTGAGGCATTGGAGGTTTAGGGTTCCATGGCCAGGCAACCCATTGTTGATGATCAGTTAAGGCGGGTGCGGAACCCCGACTTCGGGCGAATTGGAGGGTGGGTTCGTCCGGGCCCTGCGCCGCCTAGAGATCAGTCGGAGAAACCTGTGCCAGCCTGATGCTCACGATGCTCAGCCTGTGGGGGTTGGGGGGGGGGGGGGGGGGGGGGGGGGTGGGGGGCTCGAAGGCAGCGTGGGACGGTAGCCACGAGAAACTCGCGCTGCATGGGAAAAGAGCCTTGCAAAGAATAAGCTCATTTTAGGGGCGGTTTGTGAGGGTCTAAGGATTGAGGGTCTACTGGAGTTCATGGGTACTTCCAAGTAGAGGGTGCTCGGGCGATAACCTCATTTAGGGCCCTTATAACCCTGAAAAGCACCCTAATGAACCTCCAAGTAGGGGTTCATTTTTTGTTCTGGAACCGATCTCCTGAACCCTCAGCCGGCAATGTCAGTTTCAGGTTTTCAGGTTTAGGTTCAGGTTTCAGGGATGAGGTTTGGGGTTTGGGGATGTAGGGGTTTTAGGGATTTAGGGCTTAGGGCCTAAGCGGAAAGCCCGCAGGTTTTTTGCTCTTCAACAGCCCGGGGCCCTTGCCGAGGTTCTACCCAAAAACAAGCTCCGGAAGTTTTCCGCGAATGTCGCGGTTTGGAGTTTAGGGTTTTAAGGTTTTTATTAAGTTTAGGGGAAAGGTTTAGGGTTAGGGTTTGGGGTTTAGGGTTAGGGTTTAAGATTTAAAGATTTAGGGTTAGGGCGGCGGGGGTGGGGGGGTTCTGGGCTTGATGGGCAGTCCTGGCGTGTGTAGCCCCCCAGGAGTATCCCATGGTGGTGGTAAGTACGGGTGCATAAGGCTGCCACCAATCTCAGCCCAACAGTGTCAGTCTTAGATTTTATAGTTAAGGTGTTTAGAGGGGCTTAAGATTACCCTAAACTCTAAACCCTCTCCTTGCCCGTGGATCGGCCGACCACACCAGTCCGGATGAACCCTGAACCCCAAACCCGCCTTAACCCCCTGAAAGCCTTCGCCCGCTGCGCGACATGGTTGAAAGGTCCGCGACAAACCGTCAACTTCGCCCTCACCCCCTAAACCCTTGGTAGCCCAGCAACCATTTATAATAAGGGCACCCTTTTTTGGGTAGCTTATTTTTAAAGGGAACCAGAACCAAAAAAGGTAAAGGCTACCACTGGGCTACCAAGAGCCCCAAACGCTAACCCCTAAACCCTAAGCTCAGATCCAAGGACAGCCTAGACAAAAACATGAAGCCCAAACCCCCAAGCTCAACCAGAGAACCCTTCAGAAGAGCTGGGCGTAAGCCTACAGGGGCTATCTTCTGTACAGTGCCAAGCCAGTGAGATAGCCTAGGCCCGCTGAGCTTCCGCGACACTGGTTAAGCCCTTTTTCTTCTTCTCTCCCTGATACCAGCACACAGTTCGGCCGTGTTTACAGGCCACTGGACCGCGAGTTTTAAACCTCTAGTTTTTTCAGTTTCCACCTTCCGGACCCTTCGGGTCCCGAAGAGCCTAACCTGGCCAGCGACGCAGTGCGCTTTCGAGGAAAAGGACACAGCCCTTTCCGCGCACCTCCCTCAAACCCTCCCCCCCCCCTCCCTGGAAATGATAGACCCCCTTCCATTATTCTCCGGGTGGGGGGGAGACCTATTAATCAGAAGCACGGATCAAGGGTTCAGGGTTTAGGGTTTACGGTTTAGGGATTCGGGTTGAAGCTTCAGGTTTAGGTACCCCACCCCACAAATTATAGGGCTGGGGATTAGGCCGACAACATAGCCGGCCACAAGCGGCGCCACCCACCATCGCGATGGACCGTGCCCGACACTGCCCTGGTAGGCGTTCTGATCCTTGGGGCATGGGATTTTAGGGCCTTTAGGACTACGGGTTTAGGGTGTAGGGTTGTAGGGTTGGTTATTAGGGTTTTAGGGTTTAGGGTTTAGGGTTAGGGTTTAGGGTTTAGGTTTAGGGTTTTTAGGGTTTAGGGATATAGGGGTTTTTTTTAGGGTTTTAGGGCTGGGGTTCGGGTGTGTTGGGGGTGCTCGCTGCTCTTGGGGGTTCGGGGTGCTTTTTCCCGTTATGTCGCTGCGGAAAAACTCTAATTTCTGAACACGCACCATTTTGAAGGTCGGTCTTTATTCCTGAACATCCCGACAGGACCTCTATAAATGTACAATTGTTATATATACCCACACTCACACAGCAACATATAACAGCAAGAGCCAAGAAAAGGCCCTACCGCAGGCTTTGCAGGCTTTCATCTGTTGCTTTGCTGTGATGTGTGTATGTGCGTGGCTCAACTTTATGACTTGAGGGCTACGTGGCAGAAAGACTACCAACAAAACCCAGAGAGACTTTCTTCAAACGAAGAACCAAGATTCCGGAGTAGCCGTATGAGGTGCTCATTGGCGTGTGGCCTCCAGGTTTGCTGCAAACCTAAACCCTAAACCCTAAACCCCTAAAACCTAAACCCTAACCCTAAAACCCGAAACCTACACCTCCCACCGGGCACAGCCCATGTGTGCGCAAAGCCTCCAATGCTTGCATCGCATAGGCCGAGCTGGGATATCGAGGAAACCCATGTACGAGCTGCTGTAGGGGTTTGCCTCAGCAGTTCCAACTGTGAAGGTCAGCGGACTCTAGACTACGGGCTCATCGCAAAAAAAAAGGCACAAACAACATAACACAGAAAACAAATAATATAGACAGACAGGCAAACCACAAACGCAACATACGTACACACACACACACACCCACCCACCCCACCCACCCACCACCCCCCCACACCACAGCACAGCACGCACGCACCGCGCGCAACCAGCGCGCATGCAGGCACAGATAAAGGAAGAAGAAAGAAAAGGTTCCAACCACGACCTCTGGGATCTATATCCAGAGCTGCTCCCACCGATGTTGTACGGCGTCGGCGGTAAGCTGCTGTATCCATAGCCGCCAGTAGCGCTGGTAGTGCCTCGACGAACGCACGCTTCCGCCACCAGCAGCATAGCGGAAGCTGGTAGCCCCAGGGACGGCTGACATACGACGGCGTGGGCTGCCAACGCCGACAGGTGAGGTGGGTCCCTTATGGGTTTGTCCATGCCGCGCTAAAGAACAAAGCGAATGCGTACTCAAGACACAGTTCGAAGCAGCTGCCAGAAACCATATAGGTGCCAAACCCACACCCTCAACCCCTCCACACACAGACGGAACACCAAACCTAAGTGCAAAAAGTCCTTAAACAGCCAAGGTTACGAGCCCCGTTGAAGACACGGCGTCGGCGTGGTGAGAACCACGTCGTAGGGTTTAGGTTGATTCCTCCCACCGCCACCTCCTGCAACATGGTTTAGGGCTAGGGATGAGGGGTTTGGGGTTTCGCGGGCCGTGGCTTGAACGCAAGGGCTGAGGGTTTTCAATTGGCTCTGATCTCGTGAGTCCAGAATAACGCGAATACCAGTCAACAAGAGGAGCCCGCCGGAAATGCCCACCACACATTTGACCCTCGCCTACTGCCTTCTAGCGCTATCCAAATTGTCAGTGCTGGTAGGGGTTTGCGTTTTTTTAGAATGAGATTGAACCCACAGGTCACATGCTGTCTTAAACGGAAAGCGCAACGAGTTGGCAGCTCTCTCTTCCTTATACTAGAACTAACACCAACCTCTACACCCTAAACCCCTAGGCCCCCAAACGGTCCAAACCCCTAAACCTAAACCCTAAACCCTTAACCCTTAAACCCTAAACCCCAAACCGTGGCTCGCGTTTGGTGGGTTTGTTCTTGGCGGCTTGCGCCTGTTCGGGCCGGAGCCCGAAGAGAACGCCGTCGCGAGCCAAAAAGCCTACCTCGGACGGCGACTGAAGCCTCTCTGGATGCTGTGCAACAACTGCATAGACCAAAAGTTTTCCGAATATAACATATATAATATTATGTGTATATATCATATATTATATATACTGAATGTGAATCTATCGGTTCTATGTAGAGCATCCACATTCTGGAATACGTATATTCAAACTACATGCATACTGATGATGAAGCTACACATCAACAGAATCGCGAACGAAACCACAATAGACAGAAACATGTTGTAATCATGTATGGAAAGTGGCATAGCCATACTACACACCTGTTTATAATGTACTTATATATGTGAACGTATAAACCTATATATATATATCTGTATATATTATTTCTTTCGCTGTACTTAGTTGTCTACATCGTTTGTTTCTTTCTGGCGAGCTGCTTTGCTGCGAACACCGATGGGTTTATTGATGGACCAAAAGCTGAGCACAATCGAGAATTAACTAAACTAGTCAGAGATTGAACCCTGGAAGCGGTTCTGTCCTTAAACTGAAAAGTCGGGCGAATGAATTGCTCCACCTTGTTTTAGTTTTCCTGTCACTGCAGAACCGCCTGGTTTTTAAAAAAGCGACACGTCTGGATGCACCACCGGCATCTTTTCTCAAAATGGCACATGCATTCAGGCAGATTTTGTCTCGACCTTCCCCCAAAAACGATGGACAAACCTGCTGCTATCGGCCCACCTCCAAACAACAGAGAGTCTCCTGGGGCACCTCCTGTTTCCCACCTCCTCCTCCGTCCCTGGTTCTTGCTCTTGCACTCTCAGAAATGGAAGCGGAAAGGTCTTCCTCTCTCAACCTCCTTCCTCCGCTCTCGTTCTCTTCTTGCCATGCTGTTTCGTCGCTGGAAGGAAGGGATAGAACAAAAAGAGAAAGGAGAAGAAGAAGAGGCAGACGGGGCCTCTTGCCTGTCCCTTCCTCCTTTTCCTCCATCTTCTCTTTCCACTGTGACTCCTGACGAGGCCTAAGGAAA